AAATGGACCGGTCGACACAAAAACGAACCTAGAACCGACTCAATATCACAAATAAACACATAAAAATAAGCACAAAAACATAACAAACATGTAATAGCGAGTAGGTCCCATGTCATCGAGTGGGCCATAGGGCAATGTCCGGGCATGAAAATTCCTTTATTCAGGTTTTGCATAGCTTACCAAGCCCTTTCGATTTTCTTAGTTAATCGCTAATGACCCCCTTAGATCCACCACGGTTACTATGAGGACTGCATGAGGTGGAGACTTACATCTTCGGATGCATTCTCTACGTCATCGGCCTGGGTTTTGTTTTGTATTATTCATACATATTTTTGCAGATATACACCAATTCATTTGACCAACTGTTGTATAAATTATCATATTATAAGTAGATCCATCTTAGACTTTCATTTAAGTTCCAGCGGCACCAGTTCCTTCTGATTTTGGGGTTCCATTTAACAGTCATGGTCAGTCTTTTCGTATAAAAATTACAGAAATATTAGTGAATATTATATAGCTAATCAAGTATAATCGATATTAAACTAACAACTCATTGTTTGACTGCCTAAGTAAATTATCATATTATAAAAAGATCTATCTTAGGATTTCATTTAAGTTCTAGAGCACCAGTTACTTCTAATCTTAGGGTTTCATAGATCAGAGTCAGTCTTTATGTGCGTTGTCATATTATTAAAGAAATCGGTTCTTAGCAACGACCGGTTATATGTTGTTGTCTTTACGTGTAAGTAATAGATAAAAGATGTGCATTGACATGTTCTTAGAAAAATCTTTTTTTTTATCACGACCAATTGTATGTTGTTACGCGTGTAAGTAATAGGTCAAGAAGAGTCAAGGTCAACATTTATTGTACGTTGGTATGTTAAGTAATAGATCAAGAAGAGTGAAGGTCAACATTTATTGTACGTTGGCATGTTCTTAAAGAAATCGATTTTTAGTCACGGATAATTATGTTATTTGTTTCGCGTGTAAATAATAGAAAAGTGTTGAAAATCTTAGTTTGTGGGTACGACGAGTTGCTCAGTTATTGAACAAATAATGTTGTGTACAAGATTTGGTTATTAATACATTTTAATTTTTAATATTCTCCAAAGTAAATACAGTCCGTGCATCGTACGGGTTACATACTAGTATAATAATAAAGCATAAAGCATAAGTATAGACAACCACAATTAAATTTCATAAATAGAAGATTTCATCTCTCTCAGTTTTTATATTTAAATGCAACAACTTGAATGTGCAACTAACTAAACCAAATAAAAGGCTAATTATTTTCTATAAATTATAGTTCGGTAATAGAGCCCAATTACGTTTATTTGGCATTAGTTATATAAATTTTATATATGTGCATATTGTTGGATTGTCACTTGTGAGTTGTCTCACGTTGATTCTATAGGAAAAATGAGTCTAGTGTATAAGCCTAGTTGGCTACTCCTCTCATCACAATTGGTTTTGGGACGGAAACTCACTAAGGTGCACCTAGACTAACCCTCTTATGGTGCGCTTCACCTGGTGGGATCGTACTCTCTTCCCTCGATTTTAATATTGTATCAGAGCGGGCCAGTCCTAGGACCTGCAATGATTCTCTCTACCCGGCCTGCTCTGGGCTTGGGTTTATCTCTCTACCCGGCCTGCTCCGTGGACTTAGGCCTGTCGTAAGACTTGCAATGATTCTCTCTACCCGGTCTGCTCTGGGCTTGGGCTTATCTCTCTACCCGGCCTGCTCCGTGGATTTTAATATGGTATCAGAGCGGGCCTGTCTTAGGACCTACAATGATTCTCTCTACCCGGTCTGCTCTGGGATTAGGCTTATCTCTTTACCCGGCCTGCTCCGTGAACTTGGGCTTATGAAGGATTCACAAGTGAGGGGCGTATTGAAATATCACTTGTGAGTTGTCCCACATTGATTCTATATGAAAATAGTCTTGTACATCTAAGCCAAGTGAGCTATTCCTCTCATCACCAATTAATTTTGGGATGAAATCTTACTAAGGTGCACCTAAACTCACTCTCTTATACTGCGCTTCATTTGGTGAGACCGCACTCTCTTCCTCATTCTAATATATATGCATACAAAATTTTATTTTAATCCAAAAGAAAGTTAGAAAAAAAAAATAATAATAATAAAGAACAACAAATTAAAGCGTATGTAGATGAGGAGACATAGGATTGCTTTGTGGGATAAATTAAACACCAGTGTGTAGTCCACACAATTATAATTCACAAAATCTTTTTTTCTTTATTATAAAAACATACAAATAAACAAATAATATAAAATAAAATAAGAAAGGAGATAAATTAATTAAAGGAGAATGCACACATTTATATGCAAAGAACAAATGAACAAAATATATCAACTTTCGCTTTTTTTTTTTCCTCTTTCCGATCATAACTCGCCTTTTTCTTTCTCGCCTTTTTTTTCTCTTTAACGTTAATTATAACCTTTTTTTGAATTTTCTGATGCCACTGTCCGACTGTCATTCAAAAAGATGATATGTTGAGAAATTAATAAAAGCAGAGTATACAAAAACATAACGAAATATATAAGTTGACATGATTGTATATAATTTGGACAAATTACGTACGGTATAATTTTTTTAAGAACTTCAGTATAAATTTTTTTTTATAACAACCACATGTTAGTTACGGTACTAGCATAATTAATTATAGATATTAAAAAATATGATTATTATTATTATTATTATTATTATTATTATTATTATTATTATTATTATTATTATTATTATTATTATTATTATTATTATTATTGTAGCCCATTTAGTCCCAGGCCCGCTAGGATTAGTGTTAGGTCTCTTTTATGGTATCCCGTTCGAACTGCAATTTTTGAACCCGCACCGTTTAGCCCAAAGTCCGTTAGGACTGACCCGTTTAACATCTCTAATATTTGTGCCCTATTAGTTTAGGCTAATTTACATACATGCTTTCGTGATTGCCAAAATATTGCACATATACGAAATTAAAAAACTTATTTGCAATATGACCTAACTTAACATAAATATCTACATAAATGCTATAAATTATTAACGGACCATTAACATAGCAGCCAACCCTCTCTCCCCCTTCATCTGTGGCCATTTGTGTTTTTCCAAACAACAAACTCTTTCGAGTTTCATGGCGCTGCCGTCAATACATCATCTTCCTAAATCTCCACAAAACCATAAATTGTTTTTTTCTAAATTATAAAAAATTCAAAAGCAAAAAGAGAATATGAACATGAAGCAAAAGAGAATATGAACAGAGCTCTTCCCTTCGATCAAGCAGTCCCTAATGGTCGCACGTGTATGTATAGTTGTATACATCTTTTTCTCTGTATTTTCATGTTTTTTTTTTTGTGTCGTTAAATTTAGGTCCTTCTGTTTGTATATATGTGGTATTTTCAGCAAAGTTTGGTATATATGTAGTATATTTTTTGGTTTTATTCCGATCCGATGTTTATATATATATATATATATATGTAGATTTTTGGGGTTTATATAAGTATACCAAATATATAAGAACATATACAGAACATATACGAACATATATATACTGAACATATACCATTTTCTGGATTTATATATGTATACCGAACATATACATAACATATACTGAAAATAATTTCAGATCTAGACGTCGAGTTTTTTATAAATGTTATTGTCGTCTTCCACCGATCAGAAAAAGAAAAAAAAACAAAGAGAGGGAGAGATAGAGAGGGAGGATTTCACCAATCAGGAAAAAAAAATAACAGAGAGAGGGATAGAGAAGAATGGAGAAGAAGAGATAAGAAGGAGAGAGAAAGCCTACATTTAATTACGTTAATCAGTTATAGCATACTTCAATTAATTATTTTTTATACATTTAGTAGTAATGCAATTTAATATTATGCATGTGGTAATTTTGCAATAAAAAGTTATAGGGGTTGTACAGAGTGTAATTTCCTCATTAGTTTATAAATAATATTTAACCATATTAATTAGTATATTTTTACAATCGGATCAGGCCCAACTAGTTTCCGCCTAAGCACTTGGGCCCAGCCCACCGTTTAGCCATTATCCAACACACTTTTACAACATTTTAAGAGAAAGAGAGACTTCACAACAATTGCCACAACTATAAAATTCACAAAGAATATATAGAAAAGTAAAAAAAAAAAAAAAAAAAA